CTCCTTCATTCTTCGAATATATTCTTCGAAATGCCAGGGATATGGCACGAGGAACCTAAGAAGAAATTAAAGATTTTATGTATATGCATAACATCGAGAGAGGATCAAAGGAAAAATATATGTTCATTGTCATCACGATGCAAAAAACTCACCGGAGCATCCGCGGGCGGGCCGGATAAGCGGCGGGGCCGGGCACCCGTCCGTAATGGTCGGCGGCTCGCTGGGCGACGGAAGCACGACGGTAAAGCTTCCTCTCATCCGGGGTGCACTCTTCCCACGCCACCCGGCAAATCGCGTGGATGTCCGCCGTATTATACCAATCGAAATATGGTTCGACGGCCACCAAGTCCTGACGGAAAATCCCGAACGGCGAAGTTTCAGGGCTTCCATTCCGCCGGGCGGACCAAGGAGCGGGCACAACTGGATTCATCTTGAAGCAAGGGGTGATGCGTCTGAGACGAGGGGAGTCAAGACGAAAAGTGACAACTCCAGTGCGGACGAACAGCGGCGAAGCGGAGCTTTCGTGAGAGGAGGATAGGGCCGGAAGGCGCGGGGAAGAAACATGAAGCGAAAAATGTCGAATATCAAGGAAACGTCGTACTCCCATTTCGGCGACATCCCAGCACGGCCGGAATTCGAGAAAGCTAGCTTGGGATTTCCTTCCGAAATTCGGGGGGGGGAAGTCACGAACGGGCTCCTCGGGAGCTCCGTTGCGGTGATCGCGTCACATGCACACAACAACAGCACATGCACAAATACGCACAACACCCTCACAACAGAGCCAGGGATGGCACTGTTCCCGGTCGTAGGAGCTCGGCTCTCTTTCTCCCTGCCTAATAACTATAACCACGCCATTACGAGTGTAAATCATTTATTGGAGAAAAATCATATCATATCGCATAAATAAATAAATACTCCGCGTGGCGATCTGCACTGACCAGTTTAGAGGTTCGCTCTCAGCGAACGGAGATCAAAGACCGAGGTGGAAAACCCATCCGCATCGGCAATCGGTCATCACCATCGATAATCAGGGGTCGCCATCTTGATGAGCGATCAAGTGTGAACTAATCCGTCAATTGGTGTGGCACCGTGTGCGCAAACGTTGTCATACTGAAATCTAACCGCAGTCACGATAACCAAATTTATCGGACTCGGTCCAGTTTCACAGACGATAAAGTCAGTTGGGTCCCCAGACCCCTCTGGCCCGTCTCCGATTAGTTTTCCTCGGGAAATCATCCCGAGTCAGTGCAGATCACCCGCTCTCGGAGCTAAGAATACATTTCATCGTGTCATTTCTTAGTAGACCCGCGGAGTGTTCCGCACACAATGAGCCTTGATCGTGTTCTACCCATCCATGCGCCCGAATAAGGGACATGAACATCCACCGTAAATCGATTCGTCTCTGAGCCAGATTATTCTGTTCAGCTGCCTGCTCGAGCCTCTCTGGATCCCGCTTCCGAATGAGTCGTCGGCTGGGATTATTATTGATGGACGGCGCACTCTCGTTCTGTGGCGGCTTAGCGGATTCAGACACCGGACTCGGTTTCGAAAAACTTGGAATCCCCGTGTAGTTGAGCGAATAGCGGAAGAAGCGTGATCGAAGGGTGCCTCCGTTTCCGTCATCGAGATATACGATCATCATCATGACCTTCACGCCGAATTCGCCCTGCGCGAAGTCCGGACCGGGGTCCCCGAAGGAATCATTATTGAGCTCCCGACGAGGGTCAGGTCGGAGCATCCAAGGGGGAAGTTCGATCCCGATTTCCGGCGAAAGGAGCAAGTCTCGGCTCCGACTTGGCCGGATATAGACTCTCCAATTTGTCAGTTCAAGAAAGAGGAGTTTATGGACTGTTTGTTTTTCTTGCTTGTCCCCGCGGCATTGGAGCTCGTGTGCACACGTATGACTCGCTCTTGAGATACAGGAGATGATCCGGATCAGACTCCCGCTAATCTCAGGCTCGACTCCGGGATCTCGAATCTCGGGGCAATCCCACGGAATCGGTCGTAATTGCTGCGAAACTCAGCATCCCTCCTCCCGAGATCCTGGACCTGAGGCAGCACTCCAAAATTTACAATCCCAATCATTTCTCTCTGCGTTCGTAACCAGCTTTCTCTGCTGATCGTGAGTGGTCGGCGACCGAGGACAACTTCCACAGCACCTGAGCCAGCGCGAGACTGCTGATCTCTCTGGAAAATTCAGGAGATCCAGGATCCCCTTCGGGTAGCAGATGCGAACAGCTTTCGAAACGTCGCGATCATGGCGAGAGAGCTGGGAGGTGCACTCGAGACGTTGTCGAATGACGAGCATTGTTCTGATCTTCGGCTGTGTATAAAACGAGCGAGAAATCAATGGTGCTTGTTGTCTGTCTTCCTGACAACGGTGCGCTCCTTCGCTGTCATCGCTACCTTCCTCCTGGTCGCTCAGGCGCAGGCCTTCGACGCCAAAGAGAGTAGGCACGCTTCCCTGATTTCTGTCTGAGTTTCCATAGTAGTGAGGTTTGGGAAGTCTGTCGTTCTCCTTAATCAACCCCCTCTCTTTCGAACGCCGCCCCGAACTCGTTCAAGGTTCTGTTCAGGCGCTAACGGAGTGTGCTCGCGTTTCATTTGCGCGTCTTCAGCTATCCAGTGCATTCAGAACCACATGCAGACTGCTCTGATTCGCCTTCGACACATGGCCCTTCCGGGTTGAGGCACAGGAAATCGCTCTTAGAAAAATTGTTGTGCTTCCCGTCTTTGCTGTATAATAATTGTCTGTCAGAGAGTCAATCACGCGCAAACGAGAGACCGCAACTGTTACGGAGAGGAATTTCATTGCTACTCCTCATTCTCACGTGGACATTCTTCTTTTCAGTCGCTGAGCTCACGCCCGACGTGTCGCAAGCGGTGACCAACCAGAGCGAGTTCGAGTGCGGAGTCGCCCCGGTCTTCCCCCGGCTGAGGATTATCGTTGGGGAAATTTCACGGAAAGGCAAATGGCCTTGGCAGGTGGCGCTGCTGAACAAGAATGGAGAAGCCGTTTGCGGTGGGACGATTCTCGCTCCCGGTTGGATTCTTACAGCTGCTCATTGCCTCCGAGGAAAGTTGTTCGTCCTGGCCGGAGAACATAACTTGAGACGCAGGAAACCGTTTGGTGAGATTCGCGTCGCTGGTAAATTCGTGCATCCGGAACACGACACCGAGACCGTTGACAACGACTTCGCCCTGCTCAAATTGGAGACTCCCCTAGTGTACGACGAGAACATCAGACCCGCATGTCTACCGGAACGATCGCTCGAAATCGGAGAAATGGGTACGATTCTCGGTTGCGGCAAGACCCGCGAAGGCGTCGCCAACGGATCCGATGCTCTGCGAGAAGCAGAAGTGCCAGTCGCACCGCATAATCAGTGTCGTCGTTTGTATAAGGAGTACCTCATCAGTGACAACATGATTTGTGCCGGATACAAGAAAGGCCGCATCGACGCCTGTGTGGGCGACTCCGGAGGCCCGCTGCTGGCGCAGGATAAAAATGACGAAAAAATGGAGCGTCTACGGCATCACCTCGTTTGGGGAGGGTTGCGGCCAGAGACCGGGAGTTTATGCGGAAGTTGAGCGAGCGCTCAAATGGATCCGGACGACGATCGAGACAATGTAAATGAAGGATGGTCGATAGAGTGTTTCGAATGGAATTCTAGTCAGACTCGAAAAAGTCATCCACATAGCACGTGTATGATGTCATGTGAAGTTGAATGATTGTAAATGTCTATGAAGAAGACGACAGGCTTAGTGACAAAAATGACGAATAGGGGACTGTGCGACCATTGAAGGTCGCCCCCAGATCGATAGGGAAAGTTTTTTGATAGAGTTGTTCATAACAGTAAGTTGATGATAAAATAAAGATGGACTTGTGATGTGAAGTAGATTGTGTTTACTTGGCTGCTGATGCACCCCATCTGTTTTGACGTGAAAACGTCTTTAAAATGTCTCCAGTAGCCGGTCAAAGAAACTTCGTCCTCCATGCAACGAAATCTAGTCCGCTTTTGCGGGGCTGGATCTCCGCTGATAGGAATCGGATTATCACGAGGATTGGATCGGAAGATTGCAAATTTACGGGACATTGTTCCGATGAATTTCCGTCCGGAACCGAGCTGAGAAAGAGGTCCCATTAGACAATTTCTGTCGACCCACGAAAACCTCTATTCAGCCGCATAAATAAATTGTTTTCCAGAATAGGGGAAGAATGGTCGGCTCAAGCAGTTGAATGGAAGGAAGACTCTGATGTATATCGGCGACGACACGGACTTTAAGTGACTCAAGACTGCTCGTCCGGGGAATGATCTAGCTCGTAGGGATACCTATCCCGTGTTCTGGTGGAGAAAACCGCAGCGGCTATGCAGGTTTTCTTCATCTACTTTCAGACCGCAAATCAAATAAGTTTCTTGCACTTGGGATTCTGATCGGAGGAGGATCTTGAATCGAACAGGGTTCCGACTGGAGATTAGCTCGTCTATCCGCAATCAGAAACGGAGGTTTTGCCGAGATTCGATAGATTATAACGAAAAATGCAGCTGAGTCTCCAAAGAGGACTTCATTCTTTGGTGTTCGCCATGAGACCGAAGACAAGTAGCATCATGCGAATAAAGCGGAAAGCAAAGTAGCTGAAAATATAGGGCAGTCTGAAGCAGCTGCGAAACGGCCGAAAACATCAACGGAAAGATCCCGCGAAAATCGCGCTCGTCGTCGTGCGATGGCTCAGTCACCGGAGGCCAAAACGGGAGATCTTGGTGCGCTGAGTTCGATCCCTGAAGATGGAAATGTGAGTCGGCAAGAATCGGTACATTTCATGCGTCAGGATAGCGATAGTCGAAACGAGCTGGGTGTCTTCAGAAATAATGCTGCGGAGTTCGATGGAGTACCGAATGCACGAGGAATGCGGCTTACG